TCTGCCTGCACTGACGAACACCATCCGATTATGAGAAATCTGCTGCTGAAATCCTTTGGGAGACGGATACTTCCAGGAGAGTCCTGGGACCCCCCCCCCGCAGCTCACTGGTTCTCCCTTCTGATCTACACCCATTACAGGATACAGCAGTGACATGGAGGTCTCCAGGAGGTACCAGAGGGATCTGCAGGGAACCCAGGAGACTGACATCGCCTGAAAAGTCAGTTTTAAAGAGAACCTCAGCAGACGATTTTACGAGATTGCAGCAAAGGTTAGTATGTACACTTAGGCTACGTTCACACTAGCGTTGTGTGCAGGCGGCAGAGAGGCGTTTGGGAAGCGTTTTTCCCAAACGCCTCTGCCAATTCTGCACATTACAGCACATGGTGCTGTTCTAACGGGAGCGTTTGCGTTACGGCAAAACGGACGCCTCTGGTCGAGTCAGGAAGCGTTGAAGCCTCCTATTCTAGTCTATGGTGCCGCTCCGCAAACGCCGATTGCGACGCGTTTGCGGAGCGGTAACACCACTCAAACTGCATTATAGGCGTTTGTGGGGTGTTATTAACGCTCGGCAAACGCCTAGCAACCTCCGCTAGACCGCGCATGCGGCGTTTGTCGAGCGTTAAAAACTGCTCCGCAAACGCCGGACCAACGCTTGCCAAACGCTATAGGGGCATTTGGCAAGCGTTGGTAAAACAGCCAAGTGTGAATGAGCCCTTACCTTTAAACATTTTTGAATAGTAACAGGGTCACATCAGATCAGAACTTTGTGGGAACCCTCCGCCAATTTCCTCACCAGGCGATTACACAGTTTTATAAAACTTTGTTCTCGCATACAATAAATATAACCATTTAGAAATGTGAACGCAGCATCAATAGTTACTTTCTAACAAAACATTAGAACTCCTAATTATAGAATATAAATCCACCTGAAATACATTACATGGACAAAAGTATGTTGACATCCCTCCAAATTATTGAGTTCAGGCATTTCCAGTAAAGGGTACAGCATACAAAGACACATTAGATACAGTAATTGTACATTTGTAACTGCGGAACAGTTTCAGGAAGACTTTTCCAGCATGACTGTGGCCCTGTGTTTATAGCAGGGTGGATAAAAATCAATGATTTAAAAAAAAAAAAAAAAACTAATTTTTTTTATTTAAATCGGATTTTTTAAATGCATTTTTTAAAAATAAAATGCTTTTTGAGGAAAATATATTACCATCCAAAGGCTATTCCATCATGAAATAAAGATTCGTTTTTTAATTATGTAGAATAAGGCTGTATATGTTAAATTTTTTTGGTAAATAAATTCCATGAATCCATTCACAATGTCATGCTCTTCCAGAGGTTTTGTGTAAGATTATTGGGCACTTTCTCTGCCTACAAGATATTATCACAGATGTTGGTTTACTTTTGCAGTTCTCAAAACTGAATTGGACTCAGCGGAGATCACATGCCTCTTCTTCACAGCAAAAATGTTATAATATGAACAGAGTTAAGAAAAAGACCTTCATCCTAACTTCTACAAACCTATGAATACAGAATCAACCCCTTCACTGCTAAGTTTCAAGAAGTTCAGTGAATAGAATAGAAACAATATTTTTCTGATTGTTTGGAGTGGAATAGATCTGCACAAGAAGAAAGTGAAACTAAGTGTGAGGAGGAGGAAGGGGCTGACAGTCTAAGGTTCTTACAATATATATATTTTGTTTCGCCAAATTAGTTACCAAACATGGATGTTTAAGCCAATCACATATGCTGGAATGTTATTGTTTCAGTTGAATAAATCTATTTAAATTGTTATTATTAAGGTAATGATTATTTTTCTCCTTCCTAAGTACAACAGAAAAGTTGTCCAAATATGAATGATTAACCTATTAAACTGGGGATAAAAAAACTAATATGAAAAGTTGTTATTCTAAAAATCTTCATCTACTTGTATATTAAAGTTATACCAGCAAGAATTAGTCTTTATGTAGAAAACTAGGATTTACATCAAGCCTTACTGACTAGTGATTTAAATCAAATCCACCCTGGTTCATAGCCAGCTCCATAAGGACATAGTTTGATGAGTTTATGGTGGGAGAACTGAAGTGATCAGAACAAGCCGAGACCTCAACCCTGCTACATACCTTAGGATACAAAAAAAAACTGATTGGTATTCACATCATGAAAATTAAATATGTGGGTTCAGATTCATAGAAGGAAGATCTCTGCTAAACGGGAATTCAGGAGCACAAGGGACACATCTCACTGAAGGTAAGTAATATCCCTTGTGCTTATTTTTTCATTTTAAGTAGACTTCGGCTTTAACCACATGCTGTCTGGGGCGCACACACACACACACACACACACACACACACACACACACACACACACACACACACACACACACACACACACACACACACACACACACACACACACACACACACACACACACACACACACACACACACACACACACTAAAATCAGTATTTTTTTCTGCTAGAAAATTACTTAGAACCTCCAAACATTTTACAGGTAACAGGAACTCTTTCTGAAGACATCTTTGCTTTCAGGATCATTTATCAGAGATCAGACGTTCCTCCATCTCTGTGTGACACCAATGCAGCTGCTTACTGAGCCCGGCAACCACCGTAAGGCCCCTGGATCACTTTTACAAAACAGCCAGTCACAAGGGACACTGATGAAAGAGGAATTCCCTAGAAACATACATTTCTCCATATCAGCATCTCAGCACCCCAGGCGTGTGAAAAACTTCCCCACTAGCCAAACAAATCCGGTTCTTGAAGAAAAAAAAATATACTTTAAATGAAAGACCTAACATCACCCATTAAAAAAACATGGAGGAAAATTTAAGATCACCATGGATACTTTAATGCCACAGACCCCCTATACACAGATGATGCCACCGACCTGAGGAATACTATAAATGCGACCATTCTCTGCAAAGCTTCAGACACATCCACACAGAGATGGCTGTAAACTCTGCTGACAGCAGGTCCCCCACCTACCTACCTCCTCCCTCCCTGCCCACCTATTCAGGTGCCCCTCAACCCTTTGCCACCTATGCAAGTACCTACCCCCCCTTCCCTCAATTTGGGGAGCTTTAAAATGCATCTCAAAGAAAAAAAAAAAAAAAAAAAAAAAAAAAAAAAAAGACGACTCACCCTGTCCGACCTTCCACTAAACTCACATTGGTGACTTCTTTATTCACAGAGTTGTGCTTTTTGTTTATATGTAATGACCCAAAATACCTGAATATATGCAAATTCCATTTACACACGTTTGTACTTAACCACTTGCCCTCCTGAGGATCTACCCCCCTTCCTGACCAGGCCATTTTTTGCGTTCCAGTGCTGCATTATTTTGACAAATGCACAGTCATGCAACGCTGCGCCCAAATTAAATTTATGTCCTTTTTTCCCCCACAAATTGAGCTCTCTTTCAATGGTATTTGATCGCCTGTGCAATTATTTTTTGCGCTATAAAGAAAAAAAAAAAGGCCGACAGTTTTGAGAACAAAATAATATTTTTGATTTTTGGTATTAAACATGCCCAGTAAAAAATTTAAAACAAAAATCAAATTCATCATAAATTTAGGCCAAAAATGTATTCTGCTCCATGTCTTTGCTAAAAACAGGAAAAAAAAATCCCAAAACATATAAATTAATTGGTTTACGTGAAAGTTATAGCATTTACAAATGGCGGTATATACCAGGATTTTTTTTTTTGTAAATTTTTACTAGTAATGGCGGCGATCAGCAACTTATAGCGGGACTGCGGCGGGCATTCTGACACTGGGGGGGAACTGACTTGGTGTCACTGACATCCCCAATGACACCAATACAGTGATCAGTGCTAATAAAAAGCACTGACACTGTACTAATGGCACTGGGCAGGAAAAGGTTAACACATGGGGTGATTAAAGGGTTAACTGTGTGCCTTTTTACATACTGGGCTGTTTGTGTGCTTCACTGTAAGCACACTGCTTTGCATGGCTGTGCATAGGAGCTGACAGGGGAGAGAACTGTTATGTTTAGAAACCGTTCTCTCTCCCTGTCGGAGATGCTCGGCCATCGCCGGCCGAGAACTGGTGATTAACAGCCGAGGCCGCGAATGGCGGCCCTACCCGGAAATGCAAAATCACGTATATATACACACACATGATTTTGCGCACCCGTGCCGCCCTGTAGCAGTGCTTCTGCTATAGGGCAGACCGGAAGTAGTTAATGCTGCTGTATTATTTGTGAAAACAAAGAATTTCAAAAAAGAAATAGGAGAGGCAAAGGGCTTAAACAAAGTTTACAGACTTCCTCTGTCCAGTGTTCTCTGTGTAGCAACACCACTCCTTCCCATCAGCTGTGTTTATCGCCCATTATTCCTCAAAAACCTGAAGTAGAACTACTGTATAGGCAAAACATTTTTTTTTTTCATTTTGGATGGAGTAAAGGAGGGTTAAAACCCCCGTCGGATTATTTTCCGCCATCTGTGTCCCACAGAGAGGATTTCCCTTCACTTGCTGTCCCATAGCCAAAACAGCAAGGGAGAGGAAATCCCTGCAAATCAAGGGAAATCCTTGGGGACACTCAGGTCTCCAGAACTAGTGCCCCTATTGGAAAATTTCCTATTACTTCTCTAGGGACAGCCCAAAATTTTGGGCTTCTTTTAACTTTTGCTTTTGATAATAATGGAAAAAAAAAAAAAAAAAAAAGACAAATAGAGAGGGTGAATCTGTCTAACGGGGGCACAGACAGCAATAAAAACGGACAGGGGTTCCACTCCCCTCTATTCAAAACAAAAGTGTTATAGTTATACTTTAACCCACCAAAAGTTCTTTGGGGACATAACTTCATAAAGGTGGAACATATAGAAGACATGAACAAAATATAACAGCACCTACTTCCTCTACCCCTCTCCTTTAATTGACTAATGACAGCCCAATGACAGATGCACATATGTTCTAAGCCGGTAACGTCCCAATCCTCACCTGTTGAGTTTTGCAACACTGAGTTTTTGTTGTGTGTCGTTTTCTTCCGCTTTGTACTTTGCCACTCCGTTCCCAGTCCATAACTGTGAGGTGCGCTGCGCTTCTTTTCCTTTTGTTGGAACCAATTTCCTCAACTTTCACTGTGATAACAGAGTCTGTAGGGGTGCTCGTGTCTCTTTTCCGTTTTAAACGATTTATGGGAGTGGATGACATAACCACGGCCGTGTGAACTCCGTTGCTGGTGTCACTGCATATGCTGCTTTTGCAATTATCCAACTGCACCACTTCTGAGTTTTTATTTGAAGACTGACTGTGGCTGAATGCAATCTTGCGTACAGAGTCCCCGTGCTCTCCAGGAGTATCTATACAGACCAGCTTCCCGTTACTGCTCTGCTCCTTGGTCCTTGTTGATCTCCCTGAACCCAGCTTTTTGTTATTTACATGCCTGAAGCGCTCCTCCTCACTGCCCACAGATGGCGAATCCTCCGGTCTGATAGGAACCTTGTGAGCAAGACTGCCTGCAATTTTGTTGATGCATTTGTCCAAACGACTGGACTTTCCCTCTTTTCCCCTTGTCGGTGGGCTCTTGGGATCCGTTACTATGTTTTTTGTTTCTGTACACATCCTAGTACCCTGCTCCTTGCTGGAAGGCGCTCTTGCCTCCTCATAAGGCACATTTACTAACTCAGTGTTTTTTTCATCCCCCCAATCAAAATCCTCTTCAACAACGCTCATTTCCAAGTTCTCCTCCACATCATGATTTCCAGAATCTGCCTCCTCAGAAGCCACACCTGAGGTCACATTGCCCTTCTCTTGTTTAGCATGGTCCTCTTGTGGCTGGTTAACCAGTTGGCTATCATTGCTAAGACATGGAGAGGCAGGAGAAGCTGCCTCCACCTCTAGCTCTAAGCTTGTACTCTGGTCTTCCTTCTCAGGTGAGAGAGATGTAGAACCTGAGGACAAATCCTGGTCTTCATCTTTATCTGACCCCTCTTCATCCTCTTCATCTCCATCCTGATCGGAATCCTCACTGTCTTCATTCTCCCCCTCCTCCTTACTAGCAGGAGAAGAGTTCTGGGGATCGGATGTCTCCTCCTCCCATCTCTTGGTCGGTTTCATTCAAGTAGTCGACATTCATGTCTTCTAAATCAAAGTGGAAGAAAAAAAATATATTAAATGCACATTCTATCTTAGATACACTATATGGCCATATGTATGTTGACTCCCCTCCAAACTACTGAGTTCAGGTGGACAAGGTCAGCTCTATAAGAGACACAGTTTGATGTGAAGGAATCAAGTGGCCTGCACAGGACCCTAACCTCAGCCCTACGGAATACATTTGGGATGGATTACAGATTGCAAGCCACATCTTCTCAAACATTAGTGTCTGACCTCAAATGCTCCTTTGGCTTAATAGGCACCTTTTAGAAAAAGCCCCAAAATCTTGCAGAAGGAATTCCCAGAAGAGTGGAGGATGTTATAGCCATAAAGAAGGGGACAACTCATTATTGCCAAGGGTTCGGAACGATGTCTCACAACTCATACAAGACTGTAGTGGTCAGGGGTCCACAGACTTTTGGCCACATAGTTTAACCACTTCAATACCAGGCACTTTCATCTCCTTCCTGCCTAGGCAACGTTTCTGCTTTCAGCGTTGAGTTACAATTTGGCGGTCATGCAACACTGTACCCATATGAAATTTTTATCATTTTTTTGAGACAGATACAGCTTTCTTTTTGAGGAAATTTAACCACCACTGAGGCTGTTTGCTGCTACACAAATGAAAAAAATACAGAAAATTTTGACGAAAATAACAATTTTTTCAGTTTGTTATAAAATTTTGCAAAGAAGTAATTTTTCTTCTTCCCTGATGTGTGCTGATAAGGCTGCACTGGTGAAGAGGCACTAATGAGGAGGCCCTAAAAGGTGGCACTGACAGGCAGCACAAGTGGGCACCGTTAGGCAGCACTGATAATCAGGGTCACGTTCGCTGGTTACCAGCTTTCCTCTCCTTAGTGCGAGGAAAGGACTGCTGAAAACCAGCAAGTCTATTTATGATGTAATCAGCTGTGATTGGACACAGCTGATCACATGGTAAAGGGCCGCTGTGATTGGCCCTTTACCATGATCTGCGACTCTAAAAGCTTAAATTTTTTTTTTCTAAAAATAACAAGTGTGTCATACTTAACTGCTGTGTGTAGTGGTTTTGCACAGAACAGCCCAAATCCTCCTCGTCTTGGGTCCCCCGCAGGCTCTCCTGGTCCCTCCCTCCTGCCGGGTGCCTCCACAGCAAGCAGATTGCTATGGCGGCACCCGCTGCTCCATGTGTCCATTCACACACGGAGTGTGGCTCGACCTCGACCTCTCTCTCTTCTCATTGGCTCTTTGGCTCAGATTGATAGCAGTGGAGCCAATGGCTCCCGCTGTGGTCTCAGCCAATAAGGAGAGGGAGTCCCGGGATAGCAGAGATTCCAGTGCACATCGCTGGATCGAGAGGGAGATAGAGGAGTATTAGGGGGGATGCTGCACAGAGGTTTTTTTACCTTCTTGCACCCTTGAGCCTTTACAACCACTTTAATTACAGGTAAGTCAGGTCAGTAAAGCTGAAGGGAAAAAACTATTTCTAGCTAAACTTGAGCTTTAAAACCTAGTCCACATAAGGACATGAATTAGCATGGATCCAAACCCCTACCTGACCCCTACCCTTGTTCGCTTTTCCTTGGAGATTTCCCTAATTGTTTCTCTCTTCCTCCTTTTCTGATAATTTTTCTTTTGTTTCCAATACCTTTTCCTATTTTTCTATTAAGCCGCATCAGCAGACACTGCCCACCTGTTTCTGGACCTCTCCCCATCTGCCTTGATTCAACGACCTAATGGTGAATCCACCAAAAGACTGTCCATTCTCTCCCAGGTCCACCCCCGTAGCTTCAGAAAGAGCAATGCATGCCTACGATAAGTCTAACCTTGATGATATCACCTGGTTGGGAGCAAGTAGCGTCTGATGCCTACCATCTAGAAATGGGTGGAGAGCCTGGGGCCAGATGGTTCAACTACCTGGAGAAATATTTCTCCAGAGCCACTCCCATCCCCTGGAACTCCCTTCCCCAATGTGTCCGACTATCTCTATCTCTATCTGTGTCCACTTTTAGACAATCCCTGAAAATTAATCTCTTCAGAGAGGCCCATCCTGCCCCCACCTTACATCTGTTCATGTATTTTGTCCATCAGCCCATCCCCCACAGTTATTACCTTTTGTATCTCTCAACCCTCCCTCTTAGATCTTGCTTTTTTTTTTTTATTATTTATGTTTTATAATTATGTATTTTTTAATTTACCATAATATGATATATTCAATAGTTTTTATTCATTAATCTATGGCTATTTGTTGCTTATAGGATTCCTTTTTGATTAAGGTGCACTGACTCTCCTTATAAAGTGATTGGATGAGCAAAAGTAGCCCCCATTAGAACTGTTTAGCCATATAATACAGGATATAAATGTTGTTTTTATAAATATTATCGTTTCTAATAAGTTTCCCCTAGAAATATCAGCATATTATGTGTATATATGTTTTTATCTCTATTTTTGCCTTTTAACAATGGTCTTATATGTTGTATTATCATTACAAAAACATGCAGCGCTAGAGTGAATGGATCTATCTCATGATACGGAGTGACCACTTAATGAGATATAAACGCAGCTACCATAATAGTCTTAAGCAACCAATATATAACATTCTCATAGTTTAAGAAGGTGTAAATGGTGATAAAGGTGTCAAAGTCAATCTATCATAGGAGTGACGTAAATCTGTGACATCTGTGGTAGGAAATGTGGCTGTAGAATGCACTTAGCGCAAATAAAAGCGCATTGGAGTAAAATGACCTACTCCTGGTCACTGGATCAGGGGACCTGCCGGAATGGTGGTCGTCTCTACTGTGGTCACCAGAGTCATCCGTGTCCTCTCCAGTTATGGAATTCCCAGGTATCCAGTGGAATAAACGCTCATGGTATGCAGTAGAATCCTTGTGTCAGCGACCTCCAGGGGTGCGATGTGCGCTCAAGGACCAGGAATCACCTTCAGGGCTCAGAAATAAACCCAAAAAGAGGCTTCCGATAGTGTGATAACTTTTATTATGGAGTAGTAGACAAAAAACGCACTTACATGGTGCAATATACACTTCCAAAGATGGCCGCCCGTGTCAAGGTGTGGACCATGTGGGTAGTGGTTGTGGGTCAAGTAGCATCTCCCTAACGCGTTTCGTGGCAACTGCAAATCAAAGGGGATAACGTTTTTGCCACGAAACGCGTTAAGATGCTACTTGACCACAACCACTACCCACATGGTCCACACCTTGACACGGGCGGCCATCTTTGGAAGTTGTGTACTCCATAATAAAAGTTATCACACTATCGGAAGCCTCTTTTTGGGTTTATTTCTGAGCCCTGAAGGTGATTCCTGGTCCTTGAGCGCACATCGCACCCCTGGAGGTCGCTGACACAAGGATTCTACTGCATACCGGATGAGCGTTTATTCCACTGGATACCTGGGAATTCCATAACTGGAGAGGACACGGATGACTCTGGTGACCACAGTAGAGACGACCACCATTCCGGCAGGTCCCCTGATCCAGTGACCAGAGTAGGTCATTTTACTCCAATGCGCTTTTATTTGCGCTATCTGGTTAGTGCATTCTACAGCCACATTTCCTACCACAGATGTCACAGATTTACGTCACTCCTATGATAGATTGACTTTGACACCTTTATCACCATTTACACCTTCTTAACTATGAGAATGTTATAATATTGGTTGCTTAAGACTAACATGGTAGCTGCTTTATATCTCAGTAAGTGGTCACTCCGTATCATGAGATAGATCCATTCACTCTAGCGCTGCATGTTTTTGTATATGATTGTCCACCACGAGGCGTTTTGGAGGCTTGCCTTTCATGCCAGCTGCTTTTATATTTCGCTCTAAAACTGTCCAGCGCTCGTTATACTCCTTTTTCTATTTATATGTTGTATTATAAACTGTATGCTGTGCAGGGGGAGCCGTCCGTTCCGTTTCCCGTTTTCCCCCCTTGTTGTCCCTGCCTGGCCTCTGTGCTTGTAAATCTCCTATAAAGATGGCTGGTAACTGGACATTCCTTAACTTGATAAAGCGCATGCGAGCAAAATGCGTTGTCAAGGTTACCAGCTCAACTTGTGTTCCAAGGCCAGGATCCTCCTTCTGCCCCCTCCGAGGTTGCGGTGATGTCATTTCCGGAACGCCACGATTCCAGCCACTAACGGAGTTCTCTCCAGGCTTTTGTTGCCTGAGGAGCGAACGGTTCTCCTACCTTGTCCTTACCACCACACTCTTGGATGTACTTACCACTATACATTGCTTCTATTAAAGCTCCACTTCCTTAAACTGAACCTCTCCAAGACCGAGTTTCTTGTCTTCCCCCCAGCCCGGACACCACCTCCACTGACTTCTCCATCATGTCCAACAATGCCACCATCAAACCCACCCCGCAGGCCAGAGTACTTGGTGTCATTCTGGACTCCAACCTATCCTTCCAGCCCAAGTCCAATCTTTAACAAACTCGTGCAGACTCCACCTCCGCAACATCGCCAAAATACCGCACGTTCCTAACCCCAGAAACCACTAAACAGCTCATCCACTCCCTCATCATATCACGACTCGACTACTGCAACTCCCTCCTCACTGGCCTGCCTCGCCGCTGGCTATCCCCCCCGCTTCAGTCGATCCTGAATATGGCTGCCAGACTCATTCACCTTTCCAACAACTCCATCTCCGCCACCCCCCTCTGCCAATCCCTCCACTGGCTTCCGATTGCGCAACGGATCAAATTCAAAATCCAAACACTGACGTACAAAGCCATCCACCATACTGCCCCGAACTACATCACTGACCTAATATCCAAGTACCACCCAGCACGCACACTCCGCTCCTCACAAGACCTCCTTCTCTCTAGTTCCCTGGTCTCCTCCTCCCATGCCTGCCTCCAGGACTTCTCCAGGGTGTCACCCATCCTCTGGAACTCCCTGCCCCAACCCATCAGATTATCACCTACTCTCCTCTCCTTTAGGCGCACCCTGAAAACCCATCTCTTCAGGGAAGCCTACCCCACCCCCTGCTAACTTGCCGACCTCCTCCACTCTTCCTACCACCCCATCCCCCACAGCTATCTCCTCCTGTACCACCATCCCCTCCCTCCTAGATTGTAAGCTCCAAAGAGCAGGGCCCTCAATCCCCTCATGTTTTGCATTGTATTGTTATTGTTCTGTCCCCCTTTGTAATGTACAGCGCTGAGCGAACTATTGGCGCTTTATAAATACTGTATAATAATAATAATGTTTTGGTAACACAGCCCTGGAGAGCAGTAACAACCTGACAGGGGATCTAACCTTTCCCTACTCTTTCAAAAATTAAGGAAAAACAAAAAACAAAAACACAATTTTGGCAGGACGAACAAATTAAAAAACAATGCAAAAGACATGGCTACATTGAGCTGGGCATGACCTCTGGTGAGGGTAAAACCTTTATTTGTGCAATAATCTTTTAGCAATGCTGAAAGAAAACATGTAATCTAGTAACTGTAGAAACGTTATTGGTTTTATATTTACAGGTTTAACCCCCGGGTGGTGAAAAACAGATGGGGAATTCCTCCAGTTTCACACCAAGGCCATCTGCAATATATATGGCTATAACCTGCATCTTCTGTTACCCCCTTGTGCTCCCAATTCCACTCCATTCTGGGTCCTGCCTGTTCGTTTCCTTTCTGCTCATACTCAACACAATAAAGATCCAATCTTACACCATCACAGGAGAAAACATTTTAAAAGGACAGCCTGGGAAGGTGGCACCCTGGGCTTAAAGGGGAAGAGGTGACAGCCACCTGGGCTTTGGGTTTGCCAGTCAACATTGCAGTTTATTTTGAGGAATCAATAATTTGGGGTGATACAGAACTGCAGCAGTGCCAAGATTATTATACAGTATTTATAAAGCGCCAATAGTTTGCTCAGCGCTGTACATTACAAAGGGGGACAGAACATGTGACAGAACAATACCAATACAATGCAAAACATGAGGGGATCGAGGGCCCTGCTCCTTGGAGCTTACAATCTAGGAGGGAGGGGATGGTGGCACAGGAGGAGATAGCTGTGGGGGATGGAGTGGTAGGAAGAGTGGAGGAGGTCGGCAAGTTAGCAGGGGGTGGGGTAGGCTTCCCTGAAGAGATGGGTTTTCAGGGTGCGCCTAAAGGAGAGGAGAGTAGGTGATAATCTGATGGGTTGGGGCAGGGAGTTCCAGAGGATGGGTGACACCCTGGAGAAGTCCTGGAGGCGGGCATGGGAGGAGGAGACCAGGGAACTAGAGAGAAGGAGGTCTTGTGAGGAGCGGAGTGTGCGTGTTGGGTGGTACTTGGATATTAGGTCAGTGATGTAGTTCGGGGCAGTATGGTGGATGGCTTTGTACGTCAGTGTTAGGATTTTGAATTTGATCCGTTGCGCAATCGGAAGCCAGTGGAGGGATTGGCAGAGGGGGGTGGCGGAGATGGAGCGGTTGGAAAGGTGAATGAGTCTGGCAGCCGTATTCAGGATCGACTGAAGTGGGGATACCCAGCGGGGAGGCAGGCCAGTGAGGAGGGAGTTGCAGTAAGATGCATAAATGAACATAAATGAAACAGAAAGGGAGTATGGGGTAGCGATGTGGAGTACAAGAAGAAGTCCTCATGCACACGAGACGTTTTTACAGCGGCTGTTTTTGGCTTTTGACGTTTTTCTCTACAGCCAGTAAACCCCCCAGCATGTTATCCTATGTTTCCATACACACAGACTGTAATCAACGTTTCTTGGCTGGGGCCTTTTCTGGCTGGAAAAAAGACCCCACAACTAGAGGAGTTTTTTAGCTGTAAAAATGCAGAAAAACACGGTAAATCGCGGAAAACCAGCATTTTTTGGATGTTTTTCTGACAGAAAAAAATCTCTAAAAACCACAAACGTGAAAAAAAACGCAGCAAAACACCAATACAAAAACTCTAAGAAAAATCTGAAAAACTCACGTGGGTAAAATGAATATCTCCTAAACGTGCCCCGTTTAGGAGATATTCACTCTTTTTGTCCGCTGGCGCATGCGCTCTGAAGGAACGGCATACATGTGCCATTCCTTCATAGCACTGAGCCGTGTCCCGAGACTCCCGCGCATGTTGTCAGTGCAGCTCAGCCAGTACGGTGGCCAGGACTCATGAACCCGGAAGGAAGACCGGGTGAAGATGGAAGTTTCTGTAGCACGGACACCAAACCGTTGGAGGGCTTAATTTCCAGGTAAATCCGGCATAATATGCAACATTATTATGACATTACCTTCCAGGATATTTTTCTTTTCCAGCTGCGGTTTACTATTGCTTTAATCTGAATGGAGTGTAGTACTAGTAGATTTAGATGCACAACTAAAATAGAAGCTGAGCTTCAGATAACACTTTTTATGTTTTTTTTTCCTTTTTGGAAAAAGGTTTTACATAAAGCTGACCATTGTAAGCACCTCTGTCAGTATTAAAGCGGAACTAAAGGCAGAGATACTCACTTTTCCAACAGCATCTTCTCCTGTGTGCTTACATTCCCAGGATCGCTGTGAGCTGGCAGGTAGACGTAGTTTATTGCTGAAGAGACAATGAGGGGTTTATTTACTAAAGCTAGAGAGTGCAAAAATCAGGCTGACTTCTGCATAGGAACCAATCAGCTTGCAGGTTTTATTGCCAAAGCTTCATTGAACAAGCTGAAGTTAGAAGCCGATTGGTTTCTATGCAGAAGTCAGCCTGATTTTGCAATCTCCAGCTTTAGTAAATAAACCCCTGAATGTCTTTTCTGCAAAACAAATCCTGCCAGTGAGTTACAGCAGAACTTTAGTTCTGCTTTAAATGGCTTGTCTCAATCCTCTAACTGCCACTTTTGCAGGATAGCTTGTCCTGCTGAAAAATAATAGAATACCTGGCCAGATCACCTGTTGAAAATAAAGGAAAAAAAGCCTATAAAAAAGAAAGTTAATGCAGCCATCACATCTAAGAATGTGATGCATACTAGCACATTATGCAAGACTTAACTGAAAATGAAGCCCTCCAGCGGTGTGATGTCCATGCTACAGAGGCTTCCATCTTCACCCGGTCTTCCTTCCGGGTTCATGGGCAACACAGTGGCTAAATGGTTAGCACTTCCCCCTGGCAGTACTAGGGTCGTTTGTTCGAATCCCAGCCACGTCACCACCTGCCTGGAGTTTGAATGTTCTCCCTGTGACTGCGTGGGTTTCCTCCGGGTACTCCGGTTTCCTCCCACACTCCAAAAGACATGCTGGTAGGTTAATTGGCTCCTGTCTAAATTGTCCCTAGTATGTGTATGTATGGATGTGAGTTAGGGACCTTAGATTGTACACCCCTTGAGGGTTAGGGACTGATGTGAATGTACAATATATGTATGTAAATTGACGGCTCTATATAAGTACCTGAAATAAATAAATGAGTCCTGGCCGCCGGACTGGCCGACCCACACTGACGACATGCGCGAGAGTATCGGGACACGGCACAGTGTTATGAAGGAACAGCACATGTATGCCGTTCCGTCAGAGCGCATGCGCCAGCAGACAAAAAGGGTGAATGTCTCCTAAACGGGCACATTGGGAAGCTGCAATATAATAAACGTTTGCTTTTGGGTGAAATACTGCGTTAAATCCTCCACTGACCATCATTTTCATCATCAGCCGCCTCCTGGCTTTGTCTCAGCTCTTCTTCAATATCCACATCCGATTCCTCCGACTCTTCATCTTCTTCATCCTCTTCTTCTTCCTCAGATTCAGCTGAACTGTGAGATTTTGCGCTTTTGCTTCTTGGAGAATCCTGCAACCAATCCAAACAAATACTGAAGTAGTAACAAGCAGCAGAGAAACATAAATCAAAGCATCAACTAAACGAATAGGGAAAACCATCTTCAGTATGAGCCCCAGTTTTGGTCACCAATCCTCAGAAAGAATGTCTGTGATATGGGAGTCCAGAGAAGGGCAATGAAGCTCACAAGCTGGCTGGAGGACCTCAGTTATGAGGAACGACTACAAACATTGAATTAGATTCATTTATATCTGGCAGCGGATGCAGCATTGGGAACAGGTTACATGTTCCACCCTAAAAATGGTGAACTTATCCTTTAAGAGGGGATATGATCACAATATACAAATCTTTAAATGGTGACTCTAGCAAGGGAAAAAAAAACTGATTAATCTCAGGTCTCTAAAGAAGACACAAGGCCACACAATGAAGATTAACCACTTGCCCTCCTGAGGATTTACCCCCCTTCCTGACCAGGCCATTTCTTGTGTTACGGCGCTGCGTTACTTTAACTGACAATTGCGCGGTTGTGCAAAGCTGCACCCAAATGAAATTTGCATCCTTTTTTTCCCACAAATTGAGCTTTCTTCCTGTGGTATTTGATCACCTGTGCGTTAATTTTTTTGCGCTTAAAAAAAAAATTGACTTTTCGCTATTAAACATCTCCAGTAAAAATTTAAAAAAAAAAAATCAAATTTCGCCATAAACCTACGCCAAAATGTATTCTGCTCCATGTCTTTGCTAAACAAAAAAAATCACAATATGTGTAAATTAATTGGTTTACATGAAAGTTATAGCATTTACAAATGGCGGTATATATACTGGGATTTTTTTTTTTTTCATTAGTAATAGCGGCAATCAGCGACTTATAGCGGGACTGCAGCAGGCATTCTCACACTGGAGGGAACTGACTTGGTGTCACTGACATCCCCAGTGACGCCAATACAGTGATCAGTGCTAACAAAAAGCACTGACACTGTACTAATGGCACTGGGCAGGAAGGGGTAAACATCTGGGGTCAAAGGGTTAACGGTGTGCTGCGTGTGTTTTACTATGGGGCTGTGTGCTTTGCTGAAAGCACACTGCTTTGCATGGCTGTGCTGTGCAAAGCCATTCAAAGCAGTGTGCACAAGCTGACAGGGAGGAGAACTGTTTTGTTTACTAAGTTCTCCCCCCCTCCCATTGGAGATCCTCGGCAAACACTGGCCAGGACCCGATGATTGACAGCCGTGGCCGCAAATGACGGCGAGGGTAGGGCGTGCGCCCCCCTAATCGGAAATGCGAAATCACGTATACATACGCATGATTTTGTGCACCCGTGCTGCCATATAGCAGTATATCTGCTATAGGGCGGGTGGGAAGCGGTTAATAAGAAGCGGTTCAATATAAAACTGTGTAAGGAGTTCTTTGCTGTTAGAGCATTAAGGATGTGAACTCCTTTGCTCGGTTGGTGGTGTCAGCAGAGAGTGTAGATAAATTCAAAAAACTTTTAGATATGTTTCTTCGTAAACACAGTGTGCAGGGATATGGAAAATGTTAGTGACATGAACACACAAGCTAGCTGGACCAGTTTGTTCAACCTTACCAACTATGTAACAAAACAAGGGGACATAAAGGGCTGTCCTCCCAAACAGAGCAAATTTTGATCTTGGAGTGCATACAGAAAACCAGAGCTCCCTGGGTGCCCCCCTACCTACAGTAGGGGAATACATACAGAAAACCAGAGCACCCTGGTCGCCCCCCTACCTACGGTAGGGGAGTGCATACAGAAAACCAGAGCTCCCTGGGTGCCCCCCTACCTACAGTAGGCTCTGTAGGCTGACAAAGTCTCTTATCTACCTTGACACCCTTGGAAGTACTCGGCACTTCGCTGTCTTTGTTCTTGTTCTTCCAATCCTCCTCTTCCCCTTCATCTTGCATCTCTGCAAATTTTTTGATGACATCCTCCAAGCGATTTACAGCCAAGCTGCGGTTTTCACAGAGACGTCGGGCCAGGATTGTGTCCTGTTTAGCAGGGTCGTCACCTGGGCAATCATGCAAAAGAAAGATCATTAAAATAACTGACATAATACCTTATTATAGCTGCAAAAAGATGCAATAAGAAACCCCCACCAAGACCCTCCAGCCCATTTTTTTGTAATTACATTTCTGGGGACATCCTGTACTCCAATGGTGTACAGAATACCTCTAAGTTGCTATATTGCAACGACAATGCTGTAGATTGAAAAGGAAAGGTCATTTATAATAACATTAAAATTACAATATGGCGTGTGTAGCAATTATATAGGCTATATATATTTTTCCCCCATGAAAGTGGAGTCACCCTTTATCGTAGACCTCAATGTATATTCAAATCCCTAAAATCCTGTATAAGCGTTAATAATGTAATTTTAACAAACATTTTCAATCTTCTTGAATCTACAGCTCTATTACAATTATACCACATTATCCTTCCACGAAAGTCCACATTCAAGCACTTCCTGTTATGGGGTGACAACTGCCTTCCAATCTACTCCCTCTACTATCAGCCTCTTACATGCACCCCTGGTGGAGACTACATGTTGCCATGTCCACTTGTGTTGTGACTAATATGAAGCAATAACTTGCAGCGAACACTTGACAGAGTGCATGTGGATGGGCTGAAAAAGACAGGAGGACATCAGCAGCAAGTACAAAAAAAATAAATAAAAAAAAAAATCGCTAAATTAATATTTTGTGGAAAAATAATGTCCACTTTGTGTTTTTATCTGCTGCAACATTTGATTACAGGTCTGCTTTAGACTCCATTCACGTTTGACGACTCCAAAGTCCCGCAATTTCCAATACGACTTTGGAGAGTGACTTTGATGAGACTTTACACTCTCTGAATCAAAGTCGCAATAAAGTAGTGCAGGCACCTTCTCAAAGCTGCACTGCTTTGAACAGGTGCCATTGAAAAGAATGGGTTGCAACTTGTCATACGACTTTGATGTCCAAAGGCACATGACATGTCTCACAAATGTGAATGAAGCCTTAACCTAGTTATTATTATACAGGATTTATATAGCACCAACAGTTTGCTCAGCGCTTTACAATATAATGAGAGACAATACAGCAACAATACAGTTCAATACAAGAGGGAAAGGAGGGCCTGATCCTTGAAGCTTACAATCTAGGAGGGAGGGGCTAGTGGTACAAAAGGTAGTAACTGTGGGGGATGGACTGGTTGGAAGAGTAGAAGATTCCATTATTAGTTAAGTAATGATCTTTTCTTTAATCACTCACCACTCTTGTAGAAATCAGTCAGATGAGAACCAAAGTTATACACCAAGTCCAAATGTCTCCGGTCTTTCAGCTTGTTCCCAAGGTCCCGAAAAGCATCCTGTGCTATACTTTGCACATGCTTGCGTGTCAGGCCTAGGTTATGCCTTTCACTGGCTTTCTGGACCACCTTAAGGATATCGCCGTAATCCGGGAAGACATCTCTGGTTTTATTGATGAACTTTTCCAGGCGGCGATTGACCTCTTTGTATCGGGTGCCCTTGTACTCTACCCGTTGCTCTATAACCCGACCTGTGAGGCTAGAGCAGTCCTTCAGCTCACACAGTTTCTCATAGATGCGAATCATTTTTTGTTTTCAGCCTTGACTCCTGGATGTAGGTCGAGTCCTCATCATCCATATCATCCAGAGACAGCTCCTTCTCTTGTAGCTTCTGAATCTCCTGAGCGTAAAGCCGCAAAAGGTTCTCGAGGCGTCGGATCTGATGCTTGGATCCCGCTTTCTTTTCCGATGCCTCCTCATTTGCGTTCGCTACTTCTTCCTCCTCCTTTGTATTTTCAGTTTCTACCCCTTCCTTTGAGTCTTCGACTTCCACCTTGTCACGCTGTGGAGTGGCAGCTAGCGTTCGTAGACTGACTTTTTTCTTCTCGGAATGATTCTTGAGCACAGTACACAGTTCATTGATGTAAACATAGAGCTTTGTTTGCTTGCCCTGCACACGCGTGAGACAGCGACCCAAGGTGTTGCGGAACTCAACAGAAGAAAGGTAGCTAGCGTTGGTCTTGGAGTAACATTTTTGAAGGAAGGGTATTACCTCTGGATGTTCAGCTGTTAACTTGGAGCAGTAGTCCACAAACTGAAAAAGATGAAAGGTGCAAACATTAGGATTGTAAGGGAAATACAGTGCTCAGCATAAATGAGTACACCCCAACAGATTTGTAAGAAAACCTCTTTTCAGAATCAACATTTTCTATGGGACACTATACTACAAAATACTCCCACTAATGCCAGCCATTGATTGCGAACAAGATTTGTTAAATTTGCACAAAATATTTTCCTAACAAATTCATTTAAGATCATGTGGAAAAAATGAATACACCCCAATGAAAGTCTTATGCAGGCCATAGACGGGTCGAAAATTGGACGATTTTTCTTTAAAAAAAAACGAAAAATCGGTCGTTCAAGCGGCCGACATTACCAGCAACAGTAAAAGAAAAAAAAAAAAAAAAGAAAAAAAAAAACGGCCGATTTTCATCCCGTCTACAGCCGGCAAAAAGTGTCCCTGCAGAGAGCTCCGCTATTTCTTTGACAGTTCCTTGACATTTACAGCGGCTGCAACATTGTATCTATTTGTATCCATTTAGGATACAGATGTTTTTATTCGGAAACAAATAAATACATTGTTGCAACCGCTATAAATGTCAAGGAACTGTCAGAAGAAATAGCGGAGCTCTCTGCAGGGACACTTTTTGCCGCACTGGAATTCCTCTTCTTCTTCATCCTCCTCCTCTCTTCTTCATCCTCCTCTTCTTCATCACCCTCCTCTTCATCACCCTCCTCTTCATCACCCTCCTCTTCATCACCCTCCTCCTCCTCCTCTTCATCACCCTCCTCTTCATCCCCTCCTCTTCATCACCCTCCTCCTCACTCCTCCTCCTCCTCCTCACCCTCCTCTTCATCACCCTCCTCCTCCTCCTCCTCTTCTTCCCCTCCTCCTCCTCCTCCTCTTCCTTCACCCTCCTCCTCCTCCTCCTCTTCCTTCACCCTCCTCCTCCCTCCTCTTCCTTCACCCTCCTCCTCCTCCTCTTCCTTCACCCTCCTCCTCCTCCTCCTCTTCCTTCACCCTCCTCCTCCTCCTCTTCCTCACCCTCCTCCTCCTCCTCACCCTCCTCCTCCTCTTCCTTCACCCTCCTCCTCCTCTACCCTCCTCCTCCTCTTCCTTCACCCTCCTCCTCCTCCTCTTCCTTCACCCTTCCTCCTCCTCTGCCTTCACCCTCTTCCTCCTCCTCCTTCCTCTTCCTCACTCCTCCTCCTCCTTCCTTCATCCTCCTCCTCCTCCTCTTCCTTCATCCTCCTCCTCCTCCTCCATCCTCCTCCTCCTCCTTCCTCCTCCTCCTCCTCTTCTTCTTCTTCATCTTCCTCCTCTTCTTCTTCTTCATCTTCATCCTCCTCTTCTTCTTCTTCATCTTCATCCTCCTCTTCTTCTTCATCTTCATCCTCCTCTTCTTCTTCTCATCTTCATCCTCCTCTTCTTCTTCCTCCTCCTCTTCTTCTTCTTCATCCTCCTCCTCTTCTTCTTCATCCTCCTCCTCTTCTTCTTCATCCTCCTCCTCTTCTTCTTCATCCTCCTCCTCTTCTTCTTCATCCTCCTCCTCTTCTTCTTCATCCTCCTCCTCTTCTTCTTCATCCTCCTCCTCTTCTTCTTCATCCTCCTCCTCTTCTTCTTCATCCTCCTCCTCTTCTTCTTCATCCTCCTCCTCTTCTTCTTCCTCTTCTTTTTTCTTCTTTTTGTCTTCCTCTTGCAGGTCACTGCTCATGCGCAGATTTTTTTTTTATCGGTAAAAGATCGGCCGATTTGCCCATCATTGCCGCGAAAATCGGCCGATTTTTTTTCCAACTTTACCGATAAAAAAAATCTGCCAAAATACCGAAAAACGGCCGAACATTTAGCCCCCTAACGATCCAAAAATCGGCCGATTTTATTTTTTTGGGACGAAAAATCGGCCGATTTTCGACCCATCTATGGCCTGCATTAGAAGCAAAGCTACATTTTAGACAACAAAATCCTAATTATGAAGAATTCAACTACAGGCGAGTCTAATTATTCATTCCACAGGTGTCCAGCAGACAATTATAAAAGGGAGTTAAAGAAAACCCCTCCCATGCCATGCTGTCAGAAATGGCACCACATGGAAGAGAGCTGTCACAAGGCCTGAGAAAGAAAATACAATTTTCTTTACACAAGAAAAGTGAAGGCTACAAGAAGATTAGCGAAGCTTTACTTATCAGTCAGAATACTGTAGCAAAAGTGTTACAAAAATGGAACTGCAACCATCTCACAAAGACATTCAGGCCGTCCATGGAAGTTAACACCCCAGCAGGAGCGTCTTCTGATGAGAAGGGTTGAAGAAAATCGTCATGCAAGTACACGTAGTTAGCTAAAGAAGTACAAAGCCAAACTGGGGTGATTGTTTCCAGTGACACAATATGGCGTACACTGCAGAGGAATGGCATGCATGGGTGTCGTCCACGAAGGAAGCCTCTTCTAAAGTCCATGCACAAAAAAGCCCGCCTAGAATTTGCCAAAGCCCATGCTGAAGAAGTAGAGGTTTACTGGGACTCTGTACTCTGGAGTGATGAGATGAAGATAAAAGTTTTTGAAACTGATGGCGTCACAAAGGTGAGGAACACAAAGAAAAATGCATGGTGCCTACAGTGAAACATAGTGGTAGCAGTGTCCTTCTGTGGGGCTGTGAGTATTGCTGGTGTCGGGGAGCTGCATTTCAATGATGGTATCATGAATTCACAGATGTACTGCTCTATATTGAAAGAGAACATGCTTCCATCACTCTGTAACCTTGGTCGTCATGCATTTTTACAACATGAGAATGATCCAAAACACACATCTAAGGCCACTGTTGCATTTCTGAAGAACAGGGTGAAAGTGATCTAGTGGCCAAGTATGTTTCCTGATCTGAACCCAATTGAACACCTATGGGGAATTCTGAAGAGACAAGTTGAGCATCACTCTCCATCCAGCATCCAGGCTCTAAAAGAGGTCGCTCTTGAAGAATGGAAAAGATTGATGTTGCAATATGTTGTCAACTTGTTCATTCCATGCCTAGAAGACTTGGTGCTGTCCATACAAATCATGGAGGTCATACAAAATACTAGATGATGTATTTTTTGTTGTTGGGGTAGATTCATTTTTGCATCAACTAATTTGAGTAAAACCGAACATTTTGTAATCTAAGTTATATTATTAACCTTACTTTCATGTAATGAGTGAAACAAATGTTCTATAAAACTCAGTTTTGTCAAAATTTTGAAAATAGTTCTTCTTGTGTTCATTGAGATATTGATTAAAATTTTACTTTTCAAAAGGAGTACCCATTTATACTGAGCAGTGTATATATTTTTTTTTTATACACAAGTATGAAATATTATACATAAATATTTTGTGTGTGTCTGCAAAGCATAACAGCAGCATTCCACAGACTCATAACCCCGCTATGCTGTGAAATGGACATGAGGAGCAGGTAAGATCAGATTACACAGACAGATGGATGAAACAGAAGGGCTCCCCCCTCTCTTCTAGCAGAGATAGGACAATCTAGATCTCTGTTATTCCCAGGCTGCTAACAAGAATGCAGAGAACGTTAGACCTTCTAATTAGGAAAACCAAGTGTCATAGATGCACCTTATGTTAATGAGACAACGATTTTATTCCAGAAAGGAAAAGTGGCTCATACACCCATCTGCCCCCCTCCCCCCCCCTTTCTCTATCCTACCCACATCTGTTCTGAGGTCTTTTTCTCTCGTCCCCTAATTACTTACTTTGTCTATCCTACTTTAATATTCCCTTTGTATTTATTACTTCTGTTGTCATGCCAACAAAGCAAAAATTAGTCAGTGCAATCTTAATGACAAATTACTTTTCACCCCCCCCCCCCCCCCAATTCCCCAAACACTGCTTCTGCCCCCATATACACACACACACTTTTTTTTTTTTTATAAGAGCAATTAACACATCTTAAACCCAGCAGGCCTCTGATCAGTCAAGTGATGTCAATGGGTACTTCCTTTTCTCATCAGGCATCAGTGGTGTTTACTCCTGAACAGAACAGCTCCCAAGTAATGACGCGAGTTCTCATCTGTGCAACAGTACTGTGACCCTAGGTCAGCACAATTACACACCTCCAAGGGGCGTGTCCATGACTGCCTGGACTGTGGGAGAAGTGGGTTGAATGTTGCTCGGGGTCATTCAACCTGGAAGATTATAGGTACTGGACTCTTGAGAACAAGCTTTCGGGGTATGTCCCCTTCTTCAAAGTCCAAACAGTACTATTACAAATCACAAAGTTTAAGCAGAATGTTAGAAGGGATTGAGAAAAAAAAAAAAAAAAAAGGCTACAGATAAGATAGATCAAAAGTGAGGGGGGGAGGGGGGGGGATACTACACTCACACAGAGGGGGTCAAGCTTCAGCTAATAGATAGTCATAAAACTGTCGAATAATGGTTGAGGAATCCCATGTCCAAGTTAAGGCCGTTATCTTTTGTGTCAAATAGAATTATCTATTAATAGAATTAGAAATAGAATTAATTAAGGGATCTTCAATATTTCCGGATCATACAGCTGCACCTCCAGTAATGTTGTATATCTTATCCAGTGCAGAAAATGCAGCAAAGGATCTTATGTTGGCGAAACAGGACAGAAGTTGCAAACAAGGATGAATTTGCACAGACATACCATCAAGGAACATAAAGAAGATGACCTCTGCACACCTGTAGGACACCATTTCACACAACCAGGCCACAATATGGAAGACCTCAATGTTTTAGTTCTGAAAGGAAAATTCAAATCCATCCAGGAAAGAAAAACATTTGAACTAAGAATGATAATTCTATTTGACACAAAAGATAACGGCCTTAACTTGGACATGGGATTCCTTAACCATTATCCAACAGCTTTATGACTATTAGCTGAAGCTTGACCCCCTCTGTGTGAGTGTAGTACCCCCCCCCTCACTTTTGATGTATCTTATCTGTAGCCTTTTTTGTTTTTTTTCTCAATCCCTTCTAACATTCTGCTTAAACTTTGTGATTTGTAATAGTACTGTTTGGACTTTGAAGAAGGGGACATACCCCTGAAAGCTTGTCCTCAAAATTGTATGTTAGTGCAAATAAAAAAAGTATCACGGACAGTACTCAATTGTTTCTGTCGCAAATGCACTAATATGGCTGCAAGAACCTCAGGTACTGGACTCCAGAGAGAAAATAGTGAGTATAGCAGCATAGGGTGCATTTTTCCCAACAGCATATTTAAATGTTTTTTTAAATAATGATTTGTATTTTTTTAAAACCCTTCAAGTCCAGGGTCAAAACAAACCTTAAAAGGATAAGTTAATCTTTGTTTAAAAAAAAAAAAAAAAAAAAAAAAAAAAGCGCATTTATTTTTTTACTAGGAGCCTAGAAAATATTGGTGCCATGCAAGACTCCTGCAGTGTTGTCAGTGTAGCTGTCTGCTCATACCTCGTACACAGAGGCAGATACACACTGACAGGAAGAGGGAATTATTATTATTATACAGGATTTATATAGCGCCAACAGTTTGCTCAGCGCTTTACAATATAAAGGGAGACAATACAGCAACAATACAGATTAATACAAGAGGGACAATAGGGCCCTGCTCCTTGGAGCTTATGAACTACCACAGCACTCAACAGCACATTGATAGTTCATTGAGAACTACCAGCTGACAGCCCCAAAGGCTGTTTGGACTTGTAGTTTTTAACTCACAAAATTCTGTGAATGAATGATGCGGCCGAGTGGGTGGGGCCCCGCACGGCTACTTTTTTAAAAATAGTGACAACTAGTGGGGGTAGAAGATCACCTGCTAGCTGTCACATGGTGCATGAGCACCGGCAGTGGGAACAGGTTACATGTTCCACCCAAAAAAAAAAACGGATGTAACATGTTATCCTTTAACACCCAAGCACAATTTTGAAACTTTAACATGTGTTAGTAAAACTGTACATATCACCACAACTGATTAGTGTATCCTGGTGGACTATACCCCTTGTTTGTTCTCAGGAATGATTAGACTTTCATTTGGAGGGAAATGTTAATGGATTTTCCTTTTTTTTTTTTTTTTTATGAGAAAACTGTCCCAAAATAGTAAAAAAAAAAAAATATTTTTTTTTCAAGTTTAGCTTTATACTTTTATGCCAATACCATGTAGAACCACAAAAAAAACCCCTTAAAATAAAATCCCCTACTCCTGACGATCCCAGCAATACCACGTGTGTGTGTGTGTGTGTGATTTGTTCTTTGTGCCTGTAGTAGCGGCAGGAATCAATAGTATTTTGCTTTGTCCTACCTAAACACACTGACACAAAATATAAAACCTTTTTTGCTTACCTAAAGCACACTACCACTAATACTGCCACTGACAGACAGTGCCCGACACTGCTTTCGCAGCAATCGTGTAATTGGAATCTGGTTCCCTGGGTCCTGATTGTTAGCAGAAACCAGGGCTGTCATTGACAGCCCGGTCTCAGTGCTGGGAGCGCGTGATCAAGCATGCTGCCAGAATAAAAACAAAAGTTTAAAGCCCACCTCTTGGATGGCACTTATGTGTGAATGAACCTTGGTCAAGGTTTCCTGAACACAAATTCCTTTTAACAGAACATCCTGAGAACATATAGCAGGACAGCAGCAATCATAGCTTTGCCCAAAAGTGGGGGATTAGCTAGAAATAGGCATGGACCTCACCAAGGATGGTCACTGGTGTGCATTACCTCCTCAAAAAGTTTTTGGTTTTCTGCACCCATTGGGGCCTTGTTTTGGCTGTTCCACCATCTTTCTTTCCACTGCTTTGCGGCTCAGGTGCTGGCACAGGCTCAGGTGGACTTTCCTTTGCTTTAGGGGAAAAGGATGCTTTAGGGGAACAGGACGGTCCTTCCTCATCATCGCCGTCATCCAGCACAATGATATCAACCACATTGGCCATTTTTTCCACCTCAAAATCTCAAGGACTGAGACAGTTCTGCGTGAGCATGGCAGGCCAGGGTAGGTGAGGATCAATACCAACCTAAAAGAAAAAAAAAAAAAAAAAAAGTAAAATACATTCATGCTTTTTCTTTCTGTACATTTCATATTAAACATGCTGAAAATAAAAGTCACATCTAGTCAGAGAGATTAGGCCAGGGGTGGTCAATTATTTATTTTTTATTTCTTTAAAGTACTTCTATAGCACCATCAATTTACACAGCGCTTTACATATATATATATATATATTGTGTGTGTGGATCTGAGGAGCTATGTGATCTGACCAGACCGGTACCCCCCATACCATTGAGAAGCCATCAGTGTATTTCCAGGCAGTATCCATACAGGACCCCGGCTACACATGATCTTTACATGCGCTTTAAGATTGCGCTTCTGGTAAGTGGGCAATCTATCTATTCCTTTCGTATTGGGATATTGGATGACATCAGAGCTGTTTGAAGTTGTTTTCTGGACCACTCATTTCATTTGATACGACTATATCGGACATTTACTGTTTATCATTTTAAAAGGACAATTTCTCTGTTTTTTCTTCTATAGCGCTGCACTTATTTTTTTTGTCCAATTTATATAGAAAGGTTTTGTGGTTCCTTTTAGTGCAATTAGCTGCTTTTGAAAGTGCGCTCACTAATCTGCTTATATACGTTTTAAATATTCATTATCAGAGACAGCAGACACACAAAAGGATATAGTGAAAGGCTATGGGCATGACAAAAGAGATGGTCAGACATTGCAAACATGCTGCAGGAGACTGTCAGAATGAACACACGCTATAGGAGTTGTTGGAGACTGGGGACATGCTGCAGGAGACTGTCAGAGTGAACACGCTATAGGAATTGTTGGAGACTGGGGACATGCTGCAGGAGACTGTCAGAGTGAACACATTATAGGAGTTGTTGGAGACTGGGGACATGCTGCAGGAGACTGTCAGAGTGAACACATTATAGGAGTTGTTGGAGACTGGGGACATGCTGCAGGACTGTCTGCAGGAGACTGGGGACATCAGAAGAGTGAACACGCTATAGGAGTTGTTGGAGACTGGGGACATGCTGCAGGAGACTGTCAGAGTGAACACGCTATAGGAGTTGTTGGAGACTGGGGACATGGCACATGCTGCAGGAGACTGGGACATGCTGCAGAGACTGCCAGAAACACGCTATAGGAGTTGTTGGAGACTGGGGACATGCTGCAGGAGACTGAGTGACTGTTTGTTGGAGAATGAACACGCTATATAGAGTTGTTGGAGACTGGGGGGGACATGCTTTCAGAGACAGTGATAGACTGGGAACATTAAATGAAGCTGCTAGAAAGCACTAATATAACATAGCAATAAGAAAACAAGACCTACAGAGCTGCACAAAAAGTGTCAAGGGGCCGCAGGTTGGGCACCACGGGACTAGAATATGTAATCCCGAAGGCCTAATTCACGTGGGCACACCTGTTCATACACCCCTGTGAAGAGCCTGCTTCGCCTGCATGGGAAGCACAGCTGTTCTGTGCAGGCAATATGTTCAAGTCAACGACAGGAGGCCGGGCTGAACAGACCAGCACAGACCTCCAACCACATCCCAGAAAGTACACTTGTGCAGGTCCGATGCACAGATCAGAATGAAGTCTGTCTACATTCTGATTGGTGCTTCAGAGCTGCACAGATGAGCTCTGAGATCCAAGTAGCTGGCCACCTCTCATTGATTTGAACAGGCTGCCTGCATGGATCAGCACAGAAAACACCTGTACATCCCGTATGGGTGAAGACAACCCTTCACACAGGTGTATAGATAGGTACACCAGTTTGGATGAGTCCTAAATGTATCTTTCCAGTATGTTTTGAATTAAGCCTCACTAAGCGCCTTGCAAATAGCAGTAGAATTGACGCCTGCCTTGTGTGCTCTTTCAATTGGCTGTTGGGTTGCCCATTAAATAGACCCAATGGGCAATGGCCAATTGAGGAAGCAAGCACAGAAGCCTGATAACACGGCTACCAATTGCAAGGCAGTGACTTCACGTCGTCAGCCTGGAACAGAAAATGCCATTATTGAAATCATTGCAGGCGTGCATCAGGAAGTCCTGTTACTAACACAGAGACCAGGATCTCACTCTCATACTAACGATCGGGACCCGAGACTCACGGTTGTGGGTCACCGGAACGCGGAGATAGCCTCTGACTGGCTACAACAGCGATCAGTCATTGTGAGCCACCCACCTGTTTACTTCCTCTTCTGAATGAATGGGAAGATGCATTGTATCATTCTCTTCATACAGGAGAGGAAGATATAAACTATCAAAAGTGTGTTAATAAAATTGCTAGATAAAGGTTTGATCTAGGTCAGTGCCAGGGTAAGTGGTAGGGTCAAAGGTCAAAAGTAAAAGTGAAAGGTCAGTATCAAAGGTCAAGGTCAGTATATTTTGGATAGAATGCTTTTCTTTTATTTCTTTAAAAAAAGCTTTTTTTAAAAAAATTTGTGTCAGTGTGTATTAGGTAGAATGATAAAAAAAAAAAAAAATAAAAATAAAAAGTTAAATGCGAACCACTGTTTCTGGGCCGTACTATAGATACAAGCAACATACACATAAGTGGTATCACCGCAATTGTTAGGAGAATATATTTTGGGTTGTCCTTTGGTGGTAATTTATGGTAATAGCAAGAAACACAGTTGAATTAGACAAAAGTTGAATTACAAAGTCCACTACGTGATGATTTTTGCTGACAGGTTCTCTTTATGGAGACATCCAGGACCCTGCATGTCTCCCTTGTGCTCCACTGAATGTAATGCAGTCCACATCGCCCTGCGTTACATTCTTTCCAGGCCTCCATGGCTGGGAATTTGTCAACGGGGACCCGGAAGTGACATCATAAACATCACACTACGGGTCAGGACACAAAGCGGAGGGGAGAGGACGTGTGCGCTCTCCTCCCTCCTCTTCAGCTGACGGCGGTGAGCCTCAAGCAGGGGGAGGTTCACACGGGAAGGGGGGGAGAGGTTGGTACTGTGTGGAAGCAATCGGAGGCACTGCCCGAATGATTCAATCTGACAGGGCTAAAGGTAAAAAAAAAAAAAAAAAAAAAAAAAAAAAAAACTACTTGCCCGGCACTACATTTCCTGGGCGTTGGGCGATATGAATTCAACATCCCTGGTGCATGAACTACTTTACAAATCAAAACGGTTCCATAGCCAATCATCGGATGAAATTTGCCATGCAATTTCAACAGTCAAATTGCATGAAAAGTGGCAATAGTGTGTGAAAAGGGTCTAAATCACTAAGGGGTTAAGAAACAATAATACACCTGCGCCTCTACAAACAATGGTTAGTGTATACTGACAGCTGCTGTGTTCAATCAAATACAGGGGTCAATTCACCAAGCCCTGGTTCAGACCAGTGCGACTTGTCATGCGATTTGGAAGTGTCAAGTTGCACCCTATTGTCCGCAATGGAACCGTTCAAATTGGTGCGACTCCGACTTTGCGGTGCCGCACCCGTTTAAAAAAAAAGGTTCCTGCACTATTTTTGTGATTTCAGGTGTGGCTTGCATAGAGAGCATGAAGTTGCACAGATGTCAGGCAAGTTGCACCTTAAATCGCACTGACCTGCGGCTTTGAAATCATGTGACTTCAATTGAAGTTAAAGCGGAGCTCCACCCAAAAGGGGAAGTTCCGCTTTAAGGACTGCTCCCCATTAAGGATTGGCACCTTTGGGGGGTGGGGGCAGATACCCGAATTTGACAGGTACCCGCTCCCACTTCCGGTCCGATTGCCTAGGCGATCGGAAATGGAAGGTGTCCTCCCTTCCCTGTAGTCTTTTGGGACACGTGACAGGTCCCAGAAGACTACAGGACCATTCACAAAGCGCAGCGCTTCTCGAGCATGCGCAGTGGTACCCGGCTGTGAAGCCGCAAGCTGTCACAGCTGGGTGCCCACACTGAAGATGCCGGCCTCCAGGAATACAGGACGGCAGGTGAAACAGGCTGCCGGGGACACACCACAGGACCGAGGGACAGGTAAGTGGCTGTTTTTTAAAAGTCAGCAGCTACAGTTTTATTTTTTGACAGGGTAAGCGGAACTCCGCTTTAAATATTTATGTTTTACGATATTCATCCTGTTATTTTTGGTGTTTTTACGCAATTTTTTTTGACATGCTAACACCGCACCAGAGGAAGATATAAACGCACACAGAAATATTATGAAACTGTAAAAACATTCTGGTGTGTTTCCATTCACTGTAAAAACATTCTGGTGTGTTTCCATTCACAGAACAATCTCCCCCTGGTGAAATGTTACAAATTGTTCTCATTCCTGAGCTCAGGACAGAACATTTCCCCACAGATACATTGTATACTTCTCATTTACTGGGCAGTGCAGAGCTCCTCCTCATTGGTATTGTGTACATTGATACAAATCTGATGTCCTACTGGCAGGTGATATATAACCAAGATGTGTTCTTTAACCCCTCGCCTACCGGGCGCTTCTACCCCCTTCCTGCCTACCGGGCGCTTCTACCCCCTTCCTGCCTACCGGGCGCTTCTACCCCCTTCCGGGCGCTTCTACCGGCCTACCGGGCGCTTCTACCCCCTTCCTGCCTACCGGGCGCTTCTACCCCCTTCCTGCCTACAGGGCGCTTCTACCCCCCCTTCCTGCCTACAGGGCGCTTCTACCCCCTTCCTGCCTACCGGCACTTCTACCCCCTTCCTGCCTACCGGGCACTTCTACCCCCTTCCTGCCTACCGGGCACTTCTACCCCCTTCCTGCCTACCGGGCACTTCTACCCCCTTCCTGCCTACCGGGCACTTCTACCCCCTTCCTGCCTACCGGGCACTTCTACCCCCTTCCTGCCTACAGGGCACTTCTACCCCCTTCCTGACCAGGCCAATATCCAGCTTTCAGCACTGCTGCACTTTGAATGACAATTGCACGGTCATGCAACACTGTACCCATATGAAATTTTTATCATTTTTTTGTAACAGATAGAGCTTTCTTTTGGTGGTATTTAATCCCTTTTTTCTTAAACCAAAAACCACTGAAAATTTTGAAAAGAAAAAAACATTTTTTCTTAGTTTTTGTTATAAAACTTTGTAAATAGGTGATTTTTCTCCTTCACTGATGTGCACTAATGAGGCTACAATGATGGGCACTGATAGGCTGCACTGATGGGCACTGAAAGGCAGCACTCATATATGGCACTGATAGGCTGCACTGATGGACACTGAGACGTGGCACTGATGGGCATTGACAGGCATCACTGATGGGCACTGAAAGGCAGCACTCATATATGGCACTGATAGGCGGCACTGACTGGCACGGTTAGGTGGCACTGATGGGTGACACTGAAAGGCAGCTCAGATGGGCACTGATATGTGGCATTGAAGTGGCACTGATGGGCACTGGCAGATGGCATGGATGAGCACTGACAGCTGGCACTGATGGACACTGACAGGTGGCGCTGCTGGGGCTACACAGATCATCAGGGCACACTGATCATCAGTGCTCTGATGATCAGTGTAGATGTCCCCTCTGAGGAATGCCGATTACAGGCTCTCCTCTGTCAGCTCGTGAGGAGAGAAATGCCGATAACCGGCATTTCCCTGTTTACATGTGATCAGCTGTGATTGGACACAGCTGATTACATGACCGAGCCGATATCTTCGGCTCTTTCTGTGGATCGGTGATCTGTTGTGTACGAGGGACACCGTGCACAGCCGATCGTCATGCTCCGGGAGCCACGCATACGCGGTCAGAATGGGAGGACGTCATATGACGTCCTCCCAGAACGAGAGAACCACCTTGCGCCCGTCATATTACTATATGGTGGGCGGGAGGCGGTTAATGAATTGACTTGAATGATTTATCCTTTTGCTGTAATTACCTCACGTTCGTTATTTGACTTTGATGAACTGACTCTTACTATCTCATGATGTATGTCTGAAAAATGGGGTCACGTGACCCTCGCATCGCATGTGTTAATCTTTAGTGCATTGACCCCATTGTCACAAACATAAACAAGCGCTTGCGCGTTAAAAAAAACAAATCCATACAAACGCAATTTACACATATACATGTGTACATAGACGTATTTACATCAATTAATTCTAGCAGAGAGCATAAAGGAATATTCCAGCCAATGGAATGAATTACAAAAAAAATAAAACAAAAGTCCAATAAATTATTATGTAGTGTCCTAGTGAAAATATATTAGTAGTGGTGCTCCTTTCCACTGTGCTCTACTGTGAACACTCTGCACTCACTTCATGAAACGCGTGGGATGGAACTTCCGGCCCTTATGAACTGAGCCAGCGATACTTCCCGGTCACACAGAGAGATGCTCATCTTCAGCTGGAAGTGAAATTTTAATATAGATTGATGGAAACAAATTTTTACGTCATGGGAAGCTCCTTTATCCTTTTCACCAGGTGCCCTCTACCCTATAGCAGAAGTACTGCTACAGGGCGGAAGGGCTGCATAAAATCACTTATATATAACATCACACACACACACACATATATATATATATATATATATATATATATATATATATATATATATATATATGGGCAGCACAGAGGCTAAATGGTTAGCACTTCTGCCTGGCAGTACTCGGGTCATTGGTTCGAATCCCAGCCACGGCACCACCTGCCTGGAGTTTGCACGTTCACCCTGTGCCTACGCGGGTACTCTGGTTTCCTCCCACACTCCAAAGACATGCTGGTAGGTGAATTGGCTCCTGTCTAAATTGTCCGTAATATGTGTATGTATGGATGTGAGTTAGGGACCTTAGATTGTATGCCCCTTGAGGGTTAGGGACTGATGTGAATGTACAATACATGTGTAATGCACTGCGTAAATTGACGGCGCTATATAAGTTCCTGAAATAAATATATACAGTCAGGTCCATAAATATTGGGACATGGACACAATTCTAACATTTTTGGCTCTATACACCACCACAATAGATTTGAAATAAAACGAACAAGATGTGCTTTAACTGCAGACTGTCAGCTTTAATTTGAGGGTATTTACATCCAAATCAGGTGAACGGTGTAGGAATTACAACAGTTTGCATATGTGCCTCTCAGTTGGTAGGGGACCAAAAGTAATGGGACAATTGGCTTCTCAGCTGTTCCATGGCCAGGTGTGTGTTATTTCCTCATTATCCCAATTACAATGAGCAGATACAAGGTCCAGAGTTCATTTCAAGTGTGCTATTTGCATTTGGAATCTGTTGCTGTCAACTCTCAAGATGGGATCCAAAGAGCTGTCACTATCAGTGAAGCAAGCCATCATTAGGCTGAAAAAACAAAACAAACCCATCAGAGAGATAGCAAAAACATTAGGCGTGGCCAAAACAACTGTTTGGAACATTCTTAAAAAGAAGGAACGCACCGGTGAGCTCAGCAACACCAAAAGACCCGGAAGACCAAGGAAAACAACTGTGGTGGATGAGCGAAGAATTCTTTCCCTGGTGAAGAAAACACCCTTCACAACAGTTGGCCAGATCAAAAACACTCTCCAGGAGGTAGGTGTATGTGTGTCAAAGTCACCAATCAAGAGAAGACTTCACCAGAGTGAATACAGAAGGTTCACCACAAGATGGAAACCATTGGTGAGCCTCAAAAACAGGAAGGCCAGAATAGAGTTTGCCAAACGACATCTAAAAAAGCCTTCACAGTTCTGGAACAACATCCTATGGACAGATGAGACCGAGATCAACTTGTACCAGAGTGATGGGAAGAGAAGAGTATGGAGAAGGAAAGGAACTGCTCATGATCCTAAGCATACCACCTCATCAGTGAAGCATGGTGGTGGTAGTGTCATGGCGTGGGCATGTATGGCTGCCAATGGAACTGGTTCTCTTGTATTTATTGATGATGTGACTGCTGACAGAAGCAGCCGGATGAATTGTGAAGTGTTTCGGGAATATTATCTGCTCATATTCAGCCAAATGCTTCACAACTCATTGGACGCTTCACAGTGCAGATGGACAATGACCCAAAGCATACTGCAAAAGCAACCAAAGAGTTTTTTAAGGGAAAGAAGTGGAATGTTCTGCAATGGCCAAGTCACTCACCTGACCTGAATCCGATTGAGCATGCATTTCACTTGCTGAAGACAAAACTGAAGGGAAAATGCCCCAAGAACAAGCAGGAACTGAAGACAGTTGCAGTAGAGGCCTGGCAGAGCATCACCAGGGATGAAACCCAGCGTCTGATGATGTCTATGCGTTCCAGACTTCAGGCTGTAATTGACTGCAAAGGATTTGCAACCAAGTATTAAAAAGTGAAAGTTTGATTTATAATTATTCTGTCCCATTACTTTTGGTCCCTTAACAAGTGGGAGGTACATATGCAAACTGTTGTAATTCCTACACCGTTCACCTGATTTGGATGTAAATACCCTCAAATTAAAGCTGACAGTCTGCAGTTAAATCACATCTTGTTTGTTTCATTTCAAATCCCTTGTGGTGATGTATAGAGCCAAAAATGTTAGAATTGTGTCGATGTCCCAATATTTATGGACCTGACTGTATAATATACACACACACACACACACACATATATATATATATATACACACACACACATACATACACAGACAAACATATACACACACGTGATTTGAATTTTCGGGTACGGCACACGCACGGGTGCCGCCCTACCTGCCCTACCTGCGCCGCTAGAGACAGCAATCACCGAGTTAAAGCCAGCGATTCCCGGCCGGCACTCGGTGATCATCGGCAAAAGCTGACGGGGGAAACCTGTGTGTAAAAAAAGTAGGGATGCACCGAAATTTCGATGGCCGAAACGTTTCAACTGAAAACACCCCTTTCGGCTGTTGGCCGAAATGAAAAAAAAAGAAAAAGCACCAAAACAGGTGCTGAAAAAACCCCACCCCTGGCCCGCCGCTCGGTAGTTCTCAGCCTTACCTGAGAAACCATCAATCCCGGCACTGGGCATAGAGACGAATGAAGGAAAGATGACCGCCACTCATCTCTATGCCCTTGGAGGACCGAAACAATGTCACTTTGCGTTACAGCCATTTTTAAAAACAAGCACTAGATCAATGCTTTTTTTTTTTGATCCAATGCTTTACATTGCAGAGGAGAGATGTGGGGTTTTATTGACCCCATATCTCTTCATAAAGAGGACCTGTCACTAATTATTTCTATCACAAGGGATGCATGTATTTCTTGTGATAAGAATAAAAGTAAATAAAATGTTTTTAAAGGGACAATGCAAAAAAAAAAAAAAAAACAAAAATTTAAATAAATGAAAGAAAAAAAAAGTTTAAAGTGCCCCCTTCCCCCCCACGTCGCACGTAGTGGTGAACGCATACGCATTTCTACACAGTAGCTGCTCTTTACACATCGGAAATATGTGTTTTCTGATGGTCTTAGGGGACCCCTGTGAAAAGGTTGTTCAACCCCCCAAAGGGGTCGCGACCCACAGGTTGAGAACCACTGCTCTAGAGCATGGAGGAGAGGAGCACCATTACTACAAATATATTTCCACTGTTCACGTGGGTGAACAATGACACTGTACACAAGAATTTATTGGACTTTGGTTTTGTTTTTTACTTTTGGCACAGTACGGTGCGGTCAAAATGAATAGGCTTCAAACTGTACAGAGCTGCATGTGAATCGTACAGGAATGCTCAGCACGTTCCTGTGTGATTCAGCTCCAGGCTTGCTGTGAACCGGCCCTAAAAACATTGTTTTGGGGTTTTTTTTTCTGCCCATATACACAAGGTCTTAAAGAAGCAAAGTTTAATTGCTGCCACCAGGACCCATATTAGCTGGAAAAAAGAAATTGATAACAGGTTAGGCCTGGTCTTCCCCCCCCGTGCCCCCCCCCATCCTCTCCGTCACTACTAACAACGCCACCATCTCTCCCACCCCACACGCCAAAGTCTTGGGTGTCACCCTGGACTCCCACCTCTCCTTCCTACCCCACATCCAACTGCTATCTAGGTCATGCAGGCTCCACCTCCGCAACATCTCCAAGATACGCACATTCCTCACCCCAGACACCAAACAACTCGTACCCTCCCTCATCATCTCACGCCTGGACTATTGCAATTCCCTTCTCACTGGCCTACCCAAATGAACGCTATCCCCACTCCAGTCGATCCTGAACTCAGCGGCTAGACTCATCCACCTCACCAACCGCTCCACATCTGCCTCCCCCCTCTGCCAATCCCTTCACTGGCTCCCGATTGCCCAACGCATCAAATTCAAACTGCTAACTCTGACCTACAAAGCCATTCACAATGCCGCCCCAAACTACATAACTGACCTGATATCCAAATTCCACCCTACCCGTGCCCTCCGCTCCTCACAGGACCTCCTGCTTTCTAGCTCCCTGGTCTCCTCCTCCCACGCCCGATTGCAGGACTTCTCCAGGACTTCCCCCATCCTCTGGAAGTCCCTACCCCAATCCATCAGACTGTCACCTACCCTCACCTTCAGGCGCACCCTAAAAACCCTCCTCTTCAGGGAAGCCTACCCCAACCTCACCTAACAACTAACCTCCTCCACTCCTCCCACCACTCCATCCCCCCCCACAGCCATCTCCTCCTGTACCACCTTCCCCTCCCTCCTAGATTGTAAGCTCGAAAGAGCAGGGCCCTCGAACCCCTCGTGTATTGTATTGTTA